ATCTGTGTGTACTTCCTGTATATCTGTGTGTACTTCCTGTATAACTGTGTGTACTTCCTGTATCCTTCACGTGTAAACTGGACCTAACGGGACATGTGCTGGAAAAACGAGTCCGAATGAGGGCAGGCAAACAAACAAACAAACAAACAAACAAACAAACACGTGAAAATATTCTGATGCATGCTCAATAATCCAGGTAGAAAAATCCAAAAAAGTTCAATCTGGTCCTCTGGACATTCAAAAAAACAAAAAACAAAACAAAGCAAAAAATTCAGATTTAACCGTTTTTATTGTGTGAATGTTTCTAAATCGTTCTCACTTCAGATCCGTTTTTCTTCCGTACATTTTTCAGCTCGTAACACGTTCCTCAGTTCTTGTTCTATTTCACCAACTCATGTCTCAAAAAGTTCGGCTCGTTCAGGACATTCCTGCTCTGACTTTTAGTATTTGTGCAGTTTTAAAATTTTTTTTTTTTTAAATATGTAGCTTTGTCGGCCATGTTTTTATTATATAAAATGAGCGGAGCTCTCTCCACATCCTTCAAACCCGTTGAGCTGTTCACGACCTTTTACTGCCCATTTCAGTTTTTGTTCTGCTTCAGCTGTTTTCAGCTTCTTTGTGAATTTCAGCTTCTTTCTGCTCAATTCAGCTTTAGCCTTTTTCTGCTATTTGTTTTGTTTGCCAATTTGAGCCTTTAGAGCTTCTTTCTAATTGACTTTCTAGATTCCTTTCAGCCTCTTTTTACCATTTTCAGATTTTTTTTCTGCTAATTTTATTTATTTATTTATTTTAAATTTATTCATTTCATATAAAAAACAATGACAATTTTTAGAAAGAAAAAAATTAAACAAAAAAACATAAAATGAAAGGAAGCAGAAGAAGAAAACATTTCTTATTATATCTGCTCCCTATTAAACAATCAAATTCAAACAATCAATTCAAACATTAATTTGCTTATTGTAATACAAAAGAATAGTCTCATCAAAATACCTTTATAATTTGTTAAATTAGAAACAACTAAATATAATTCTTTAACAAAATAGTTTTAACCATTTTCCTAAATGTTAGTATCGACTTCGCTTTTTTTACATTGTCCTCCAAACCATTCCAAAGATCAATTCCTCTTATTGTAGTAGATCTACCCTTTCAACTTGTTCTGTACTTAGGTTTAACAAACATTTCTATTCCCTTTAAATTATAACTACTGGTCCTTTTCACAAAATAGTTCTGAATGTTTGATGGTAGTGAGTAATTCTGAGCTCTAAACATAAGTAAAAGAATATTATAATCAACCAAATCATAAAACTTAAGTAATTTCAATTGACAAAATAGAGTACCAGAAGGATGACAATAATTTTTCCTCATTATAATTCTTACAGCTTTTTTTTTGCAAAATAAAAATAGGCTTAGTTGTTGTCTTACATGCTGTACCCCAAACATTTACACAATAAATTAAATGCGGAACTATAATTGTATTATAGAGCAAGTACAAAGCCTTATTATTTAACAAGTCCCTTACACGATACAATACTGCAATTGACTTAGATATTTTAATTTTAACAAAATTTACCTGCTGTTTCCAAGACAGTTTGTCATCAATAATTACACCCAGAAACTTGATCTCATTCACTCTACATATCTTTATACCATCAATTTCAAAAGAAAAATACAAAGTTTTTTTTTTTTTTAACTAAATATCATAAAATTGGTTTTATCAATATTCAATGACAACTTATTTAATTTAAACCAAATTTGTATTTTTTCAAACTCTGTCTTTATCAATACAAACATCCGTTCCAAGTCTTCACCCAAACAAAAAAAAGTGGTATCATCAGCAAATAAAATACATTTAAGGATATCAGACACCTCAACTAAATCATTAACATATAAAATAAATAACTTGGGTCCAATTACAGAACCTTGTGGTACTCCACATGAAGTTCTGCTTAAATTAGAACGTACATCATCCATCTGTACAAACTGTTTTCTATCACTCAGATAACTACTTATCCACTGCAATGCAGGACCTCTGATACCATACTGAATTTCATTTTTAAAACTATTTTCAGATTTTTTCCTGCTCATTTAATTGTTTTGCTGCTATTTTCAGATTTTTTGTAATTTATTTAGCCTTTGCTCATTTTTTATTACTATTTTCAGCCTTTTTTCCTTCTCATTTGATTTTTTGTTGCTATTTTCAGATGTTTTTTGTAATTTTTTGCTCATTTCTTTTTTTTTTTTGTTTGTTTGCTATTTTCATTTTTTTTTTCTGCTCATTTCATTTTTTTGTTGTTGCCATTTTTAGACTTTTTGTAATTTATTCAGCCTCTCTGCTCATTTCAGCAGCATTTCTACTCTTATCAGCTTCTTCTACACATTTCTGCCATTGTTTTTACGTTTTATTTTCCATCTTTCAGCAAAGGCCAGCTGCTCAAATCCAACTCTCAGCAACAGTTCAGCGATGAAACCTTCTCAGCTGGTTTTAACTTCTTCATCTTCTTTTTACAAAAACATTCAGCAATAAGCATCCATGCTGCAGGTTCGTAGGAACTGCAATTTATCTGGTTTCCTTTTAAATTAAACGTTTTTTTCTGTCAACTCCCACAGTGCAGGGAAATCCTTTCGTATAATGTTTGGCATCACTGTCAGCCTTGAAGATTTTCCTTTTTAAATATAAGGCTGGACAATGACATCACAGATTGACTTTTCAAACCAATAGAAATAAAAAAAACTTGCTGCCTAGATGCGTGACGAATCATCAAATTTCAACAAACTGCACATAATTTTGAAGCTTTTGAGATGAACGATTAAAAAAATAATAAATCAATATTAAAAAAATGAATCATCGCGACTCATTTTGCCTGCATGGGTCACAAACTTGTTCACGCCTAATATAAACTGGTCCGTCAGCATTCCCAGGAGTTGAAGACATCGTTACTGTCTCACATTTCTTTATTTTGCTGCCATCAATTGGAAACAGACGCCAACAGACCTCGTGACAGAAGTCCCAGACCTGAGGCCGATGTGCCAAAACACGAGCACAACTCTGTCGTGTTTTGTTTATGAAAAAAAAAATGGTGACGGCCGTGTAAATATTTCAACCATCATCTCTTCTGACTTAAAATGATAAGATTATGGGTCACAAAATCTTTTTTTTTTATGTTCTGGTGCCACAAAGTAAATTAGTTTTATTTGTTTTAGAGACCCAACGGGACACGACTTCAAACTAAAGGAAAAGTCGTTGAAAAATACATAAATAAAGGTTTCCAGACCATAATGTTATTAATATACTTCAAACAGAGAGTATCTACTGTTAAATCTGACATTATTATTTTAATTTTTACGAGTTTGGGAACAATAATGAACAGTTTTACTATATTTCATAATGAGATGTGTTATTTGACGTCAGGGGTTTAATTGATGCTGCATTTCAGCATTTGTTTATTTCTGAATAATGTTGTTCTTGTTATTTTATGGACGATTTGTTCATATTTTACAGAAAAGCAGGTCAGGACTTCTTACCAGGCTGCGAAGTGGTGTGGTCTGGGTTTGTTGTTCTGTGTCTTCAACTCGTTTCCTCTCCCACTGATCCAGAGTCTTAAGGACAAAACATGAACAAGACGTGTTATTGTGAGTCCACATTCATTGTAAAACGTTACAGATATAATCAAATATTCATTTTTAAAGTGTGTTGTTTTACGACACAATCATTCAATAGGCGGTATTATAAAAAGCGGTGTTTTCTGCAGACGGTTTCTTGTAAGCAGGCTTCAGCAAGCAGAAGGTCAAAACTCGAGCGCTGCAGTACTTCAGCTCCGAGGAGAAAAATACAAGTTGCTAAGATAAAACTAAATAAGCAGACGGGTTCTATGGGTGTTCTTCTCTTTCTCCCATTAAATCCTCTGTTATTTTTCACAGCAGGATCGTTGCTGGTTCTGATAACAGAACAGAACACCTCAAGGCCGAGCCCACAGCTGTGAGCGTACGTGCAGAACCACAGGACCCAGAGAGTCCAGCCCATCAGATCTACCAATGTCTTAACACTATTTACAGTGGGATCAGGGCGGACGTGGGTCAGTTCAGACTTCCTGAACCGCCATCAACTTTGTTGGCGTTAGGGAGAGGTTTCTGAACCCAGAGACTCTCTGTCATGGCGTTCATTTCTGAAACTGCTCTCGATCCGCGTCATAAAAACAGTTAATTTGAACCTCACACCTTCTCCTTCTACCAACAGCGCTGAATGAATTAAGTATAAATACTGGAGTCAGATTAAAAGTGTGTTTTAATAATCCATTTTTAACACTACCCATCTGCTACGTTTAGCTTTCAAACAGCTACTTTTAGATAGCATTCTGCTTTTAGCTTCTAGCTAACATTTCAACAACTGTAGTCAGCCTTTTGCAACATTTAGCTTTTAGCCACACTATTGATACTTTCAAAAGATTTTTACCACATTTAGCTACATTTACCTTCTACCTATGGCTTTTGCTATTTTTACCTTTTAGCTAGTTTTTGGCTTCTTTCAGCTCCAAGTATTCCAGTAAATAACCAGTTCATCGAACATCGCGTACATCTTGACATGCCTATTTTTAAAAACTGCACAGTATTGTAGTCTAGTATAGTATATTATTATTTATTTCTTTATAGATAGTTTTTTTTTTACATTTTAGGAACTTTTTGTGTGAACCTTTATATCTGCTGCTGTTACACTTGAACTTCACCTCTGTGGGACAATAAAGGCTGTTTCTATTCTATTCAGTTTCAGCTTTTTTTCAGCGCTCAGAATTTAAACAAATGTTTGCTGCAGAAACATTTATTTTCTTTGGTTGAGTTTTTATGGCCCTCATTCAGACATTGAGCCTTTTTGCCCAGGTTTTCTTCAGGCTTTAGCCACAGCTTTCGGCTGTATTTGTTAGCATCCTGACAGGTAGGCAGACATACAACACAAGAGCAACACGAGCCTTGGGCGCGCTGACCTGTGGCCCGTCCAGCGGCCCGTTTTTGGCCGGGCGTCCCTGCAAGTCTTCGGTCTGGCTGGAGTTGCAGCAGTGGTTGGAGGAGGCGGCAGGAAAGTTGACCATGCTCTGCAAGGAGTGGTTCTCCTGGGCCAGCCGCTCCACCAGCGCCCTGGCTTCTTGGAAACGACAGCTGAGAAACTCGCGCTCCTCCCTGGTCTTACGCTGCCAACCCTCCATCTCCTCGCAGCGCTGACGCAGAGCGAGGTTGCTCTGCCGCAGAGCCTCTGAGCAACACACGGACGAAGGTGGACAAACTGTTTGTTATTCCTTCCTTATTTCAAATAAAGGCGGCTGTATTTAGTGAATTACGCATTGAAATAAACATGCAACGCCGCCTTTTGATTCGTTAAGACGCCCCATAAAATTCAAACTTCTTCGTGTTCTTACCTCGGAGCTGCTGATTGTCACACAGCAGTCTGGTCACCACTTCATTGCCAGCGAGCTCTGGTGGGACCCTGAGGGCCCCTCCGCTGTCCTCCCCGGACATGTCCCACTGCATTGGACCGTCGGGCTGCGGCTGCACCATCCCTGCAAACAACAATCAGAATTACATACCTGCAGCTTTGAAAACTGGTTTTGTTTTCATGGTTATGATTTTATGGAAAGTTTGTTTTTCTCAAATGAACTCGAGGTAGATAAAAAAAATGCATTCATCTAAATACGGAGAGTGGAATAAATATCAGGTTTCTACAGGAACAGTCCAGCTGAAAGGTTTAGAGTGGTTCCTCATTTCTTTATCACGTGCTTCAAAGCAAACTTTCTTTAAATCTTTTAAAATCACTTTGACATTCGCTGCTTTTTTGGTCGTAGTTTTCCACTTCCTGAGGAGTGATTGCTTTCTTGCTAAACTACAGCCTAATGTTGAACATGTAAATATTCCCTCTCAGTGTAGTGATGACTGATTTAGTTTGAAAAAAATAAAAACAAAAATAGTCACGGACGCACCATGGACCAATTGTTTATTTATCCGTCTAAGTAACAAAACAACAAAAAAACACACTCGCTTCCTCTCTAAAAACTAAAAAAACGACACCACCTCCGTGCATGCTGGTCCTTTACCTGCTTCCCTTCTTGTAGATTCATTCTCATAATTTTAACTTGCCCCACATTAACCAAACAAAAGAACAAGAAAATACAAACAGGATTAAAATAAGCCACATAATTTCACATCCAGGTGGCTCAGTTGGTGGAGCTGCCGCCTCTCAGTGAGGTCGCCGTATCAAATCTCAGATGGAGACCTTTCAGAGTCAGAGTTTCTTTATTGTCATTCGCATCTCATGTGGTACATGTGGTGGAGCGAAATTATGTACACAGGGTCCCAGTTACATCCAACAATAAAATGTCTAAGAAAAACAGTAATAACATCTAAGATATGAACTAAGAAAAACATCAACTAAATATACACTAAGCACTCATAACATAAAACATTGAACATCAGCACAAACATGAACATGAGTCTGTGAGCAGATGTGCACGCATGAACACATCAACATTGAAACAGATCAGCAGCAACATGAAACAGATCAGCAGCAACATGATATGGTTTTTCACAGTGATTATTCTAGTTAGAGATTCATGAGTCTAACAGCCTCAGGGTAGAAGCTGTTCCTCAGTCTAGTGGTTCTACACTTAATGCTCCTTAACCTCCTTCCTGAGGGGAGTGGGGCAAAAAGTGTGTGTGCTGGGTGGGTGGGGTCCTTCATGATGCAGGTGGCCCTCTTCCTGCATCTGGAGGTGTAGATGTCTGTGATGGTGGGGAGGCTGATTCCGACAGATTTCTGTGCAGCCTTTCTGGGGGGAGTTTCCATGTTCTCTCTGTGCACGACTTTTCTCCGGGGTTTACTCTCACAGACCAAAAACGTGCACGTTAGGTTGATTGGTAACTCTAAATTGTCCCTACAGGTGAGCGAGAAGTTTGTCTCTGTGTCCCTGTGGTGGACTGGAGACATGTCCAGGTGTCCCCTCGCACAGTGACTGCTGGACATGGACACATGTGACCCCCATGACCCCCAAAATGGAATAAGCGGGTAAAGATAATGGATGGATGTTCAGGGTAAAAAGTTCATGATAGAAAACATAAACACTATTAAAAAAACATTAAATTACAAAAGCATCATGTGCAGCTGGCTGAGAGAGCATGTTATAACAAAAACACATAATATTAAATAAATATGAAATAATCCCAGTCGACCATCACTGACAAATATAAAGCTTTCACTTTCTCTTTGACTTCCTAAAGACCATTTCAGACACGTTTATGAGCAGTAAACCTGATCAGAGGAAAACTAGTCCTGGTCAACAGTTTACTGCTTTAACTTTGCTGCTCAGCTGAGCCAGACTTTTATTTTATTTACTCAACTCATTTTATGTAATCATTCAACATGGAGGACTTCTGAGAAAAACACAGAGTCTAGTCTGTTAAGGTGCTTTATCTTATTAGAAACAAAACTAGGATCATCTCCGTTCTTGTAGAAACAATACGCTTTTTTTAATTTATAATCTCATCCAACTCAGAATATAAAAACAACTCGATGGCCTCAGTAAATGTTACAAAGTTCAGATAGAGATGTAAAAAATTAATCATCTTACCTCCTTCTTTTTCAAAGTTACAGTCCGGAAGAAGAACTAGTCAAGCTGTAACTCACAAACAAACAATTTAACTCCGTTTTGTTGTTTTTTTAAATCAGAAATTAGACGATGCGGAGCAGCTAGCTAATTAGCTTAGCATGCTAATATGGCATATCGTCGGCTGGACAAAGCGAGGAGCTTTTTGACTCAAACAAACAATAATAACTATTAATGAACTACGTGTCTCCCGAACGGCATCGTGTCCAGATGTGTAGCCTCCCCTGGGCGCGTTTCAGGCGCTAAAGCTGAGGAGCTTACCCCTCAAATCCGATCCGAGCGCTGCTAGCTCGAACTACACCGAGGCTTAACCCTGAGTACAGCCTCGCAGGCACAACTCCCCTGGACATCACAATACCTTTTCACCTTAGTCTACCTCCTTCGTTTTAACGAGTGGGAGGAACACAAATAAACAAAATATTAATAATTAAAAAAACAGTCATGTCAACTATAAAAACAGGGCAAAAAATGAACGAGTACTGAAAAAGTTATGCAGTTTGAAGCAAAACTTGATACATCACAAACTGAGCCATCATTATTAATAAGTCACTGTCACAACATTTAAAACATTTGGGGAGAAAATTAAGCAGCAAAAACTAAGCCGAGACAATATCTGTAAACAAACACAATTTGAGTTTACGTAAGTGGTTTCTTTCTTTTTGAGAGTTGCACCTTTAGCTTTGCTTTAAAATGTGATAAAAATTAATGAGTCCCAGCTCCTCACAGGGCAACTTTATAGACTGATCGATCAGTTGATCAAATTTCGATCAGTCGATCAGGCTCAATTTTTGCACTTGCAACCTCATTGTTAATTTATGCAATCCAAGGGGCTAAACATGAATTTCACTTTTTGGAAGAAAATTGTCCATTTATTTTAAACATGCAAAAAGTCTACAGGAACATGTACGTGCTCCAAGTTAACATTACTAGTGATAAACATCCATGAACCTTGACCAAAACCCGCCTGACAATATTCATGGTAAATCATTATTAGTGATAAATGAATAAACAAAAATAGCAAAATGTGGATAAATAAGCTAAACTACATTACAATAAAGCTCTGTTTAGAAACCCACCACTTTTCCACAACATATCAGAATTTATCCAGCTTTTCTATTAAAATTAACCATAATTACATCAATATTCCTACTCCTACAGAATATTTCCATCATGTAAAACAAAACATTATCCTGTCTGCAAAACTGAAATTCACAGAAATCAAGGCCAAGCACTCCCAGTTTTGACTGCAATCCATTAAGCGACAAACAAAAAAGACATTTATTGATATTTAGTCATATTCTATTTTATATTTCAAGATTACCATACACCGTTCCATTCATTTGTATTATTTTCAACTTCAACTTGTTCCGGAACGTTCCACCTGTCAGTCCGCACTCCGGGACCACAGCTCGTTGTTTATTTACAGGAAATCCCCCTTCCGCTTTCCGTAGTGGAAGATGACGTCACCGATCTGCAGCAGTTTTTGATGTCCGCTAAAGTAAAGGAGGTGACAGGATGCTGTCCGCGTCAGCCGCTGCGGTTACTCTCCTGGTGGCCTGGGTTTACCCGAGCCACGCGTTATATTTCCACATAGGAGAGACGGAGAAAAAATGTTTCATTGAAGAAATTCCCGACGAGACGATGGTGATCGGTGAGCAGCTAGTCCGTTAGCTTAGCGGCTAACTAGCCGTTGGCGCTAACGGCTTTTTGTTTCAGAGACGCAGCAGGAGACGGAATGGTTCAAACCGAGTAAAGCGATTCACATCAATTAGTGTAAAGTTGCACTTGGTTTGCCCTTTTCTGATCAGAGTTTTCATTGTCCCAAATATTCATCAGATTAATGTAAATTGAAGTAAGTCTCAGTCTGGTTCATGATAACATTAAATAAAAATGTAGGCTGTTCAGTTAGAATAAAATGTTCACTCCGTTACCTTAAATGTTTATTATAAGCTTAGAAAACAATTCATTTGCACTTTCACATAATGCAGCAAATTTTATATTTTCAAACATCACCACAAAACTATTTAGTCTTTTAAAAACGGCCTCTTCTGTTGCAATACAGCGTTAATGCTGTTTTAGGTTTACACAGTGAACAGTTAAAGTTTGTTGCTGTTATTCCCTCTTGTCACTAGATGGCGCTGCTGGGACAGCGCAGGACAGACCATTAAAGAGGAAGATACAGACGTGGTGTTCTGTAAACGTCTGGCGTAACGACGCCGGCACCGTAAGAAAGTTGAACCGTCGTCTCCCGTTTCACTACAACCAACACGACGGATAAGCGCTGAATGACAGCTGAAATCTGCTGAAAAAGCTGAAACAGAGTTGTTAAACCTGAGAAAACCCAGAACAGCAGCGAAAAGCTCAAAAGAGCAAAACACGAGCTAAAGGGAACAAGCACTAGCTAAATGTGGGAACCTTTCGTTAAAAGTAGCAAAAGGCTAGATTGATGCTAAAAGTATTAAAAGCCAAACTAAAAGTAGCAAAGGGAATCTTGGAAGATAAAAGTTACAAAACAACTAAAAGCTAAAAATGTCAAAAAGTTAACTAAAAGTAATTGAAAGCTAAAATGGCCAAAGAGTAGGTAAAAGCACCAAAATGTTAATAAAACGTATTAAAAACCTAGCTAGAAGCTACACATAGCAAAAACCTAGCTAAAAGCTAAAAGTACCAGGCGTGAAAAGCCAGCTTCAGTTAGCAAAAAGCTATAGAGAGGGTAAAAACATCAAAATGCTAACTAAAAACTTAAAGTAATGAAATGCCAGCTAAAAGCTAAATAAGCAAACGAGTAACTAAAAGCACCAAAACGTTAGTAAAACGTAATAAAAGTTTAGCTAGAAACTTAACATAGTAAAAGCCTAGCTAAATGCTAAAACTACCAAAAAGCTAACTGAACGCTAAAGGTAGTGAAAAGCCAGCTGCAAGTAGCAAAAAGCTATCGAGCAGATAAAAATATAAAAAGGCTAACTAAAAATTATAAGTAACAAAATGCTATCTAAAAGCTGAAGTAGCAATAGAGTAGCTAAAAGTAGCCAAAGGCCAGCTTTAATCTAAAAGCTACCTCAAAGCAAGTTTCTTTCAGCTGCTTCCTTCTTCGGGGGGTCACAACAACGTGCAAAATCGTATGAAAGATTTGGCAATTCGTTTTACAACCCTTTCACAACCTGGGCTCAAACCCACAACCTCAGGATTGCAAGACCGTGGCACTGACCACCGAGCTACCGTAGCCAGCTAAAAGCAAGAAAAGGCCATCAGAAAGCTTTAAATAGCAGCTGAAAACTCCTGCATGTGTTTCCTGCAGGAAAGTACCGCACTCAGATGTGGGACAAACAGACCGGCTCCTTCCTCCCGTCCACCCCCGGCCTCGGGATGCACGTTGAGATCAAGGATCCGGACACGAAGGTAAACACGGAGAGAGGGTGTCGTTTAAAAAACACATTTAGGTACCGGACAAAGTTCAGTCCAAAGATCCGTCTGTTCCAACCGTTCCAGATCATCCTGTCCCGTCAGTACGGCTCTGAAGGACGCTTCACGTTCACCTCTCACACTCCTGGAGAACATCAGATCTGTTTGCATTCCAACTCCACCAAGATGGCTCTGTTCGCAGGAGGCAAGCTGGTACGAACGCCCCGTCTCCACTTTTACTGGACCACATCGCCGCTTTTCATTGAAAAAGTTCACTCATGCGCCCCTCATTTTGATGAATGTATAATATACAGATACAATAATAAATGACAGATGCTCCCTAATAACATCTGCACCAATTTTTCTGCAATGAAAATGTGCACGTACGAGATGACGGGTCTGTACACGTGCACAAGAATAGGTTGTGATTTTTCAAAACATGGCCACATATGCAAAAACTGAATTCAGTAAAACTGCTTCTTCTTTTGGCTCTTCAGGGTTCGCCACAGCAAGTCATCCTCTTCCATCTCACTCTGTCCTCTGCATCCTCTGTCCTCACTCTGTCCTCTGTCCTCACTCTGTCCTCTGCATCCTCTGTCCTCACTCCCAACTACTTCCATGTCCTCTCTAACTGCATCCATATGTTGTCTCTTTGTCTTTTTCCTGGCAGCTGCATTTCTAACATCCTTCTACCAATAAACCCACAGTCCCTTCTCTCTGGACATGTCCAAACCACTGTCCCTTCTCTCTGGACATGTCCAAACCACTGTCCCTCCTCTCTGGACATGTCC